AAATTGTTGTGTTTAATCATCAACTGAATTTGACTCTTTGAGAATGGAGGTGAAAATAGTGATCAAAGGGGACAACTTTCAAACTATAAGCTTTTTTGAGAGGAAGATATGAGTCTATGTTAGAAAAAATTTCTGATGAATATTAACAGGCCCTTCTCCTGCATTAAAGGATAAAGGCCTTCAGTAGAAGAATTGATGGAGGTGAGTATATCACTGTTAGTTGTCAGAGAATAATCCTAAATCCACATTATTATTTTTCTGACTGGGAACTCATCAGAGCATGACTTATACAAACTTCTTAAGAATAGAGGCTTTGAAATTAGCCCTGACTTTTAATAAATACTACTTAAGAATAGACCCAAAAAGCATTTCTTAGAGTAAATGGGCAAATTAGTGAGTTAATGAATAGAGGTTCTCAGATAAAACTGACTAGCATATAAAGATGATGAAACCATTTAGAGCAGAATAACAAAGACTTTTTTCTGCACTGAGTGGCACTCCCATGCTTGAGCCTGTTTCTTCAAGCATCATTTTAAAAAGATACAGTCTTTCCTTTCATCATTCCAGGAAACTGTCCTAGTATCCACATACTCCAGGTGAGGAGACACACAGAGGTGAGGGACATGGGGAAGAGAAAGCTAGAGTCCTGGACTTGACTCCCTCCCAAGAGTTTAATCCACTCCCCCACATTCCAATTTACAGTAAAATGAAATTGGCACATTAACCTGAAAGGAAAAAGAAAGAAAGAAAAGTGACCAAATTTATTCAGTAAATTCAGGCAAAATAAGTAAACAACACCGAGTTTATTCATATCTGAAAGGAGTTTGGCTGTGGAAAGCAAAATTAGCTCATCCTTTGTTTAGTGAGAGAAAGAACTAGGGATCTGAATTAGCAGAGTACAGGCTGAGCTAATGGTGAAATGACTTCCCTAACTTTCCCCACTGGGCAAACATTAAGATGGTGCTCTCATTCTTCCTACCTCATCTGTTGCTTTCACCAGGAACACTCCAGATTATGGAACCTCTAAGTACGTGGGGCAAAGTAACAAATCAGCAAGTGTTGGATCAGAATACATGGGTGGGGCAGACATGGAGCTAAGCACAATTTTCTATTTCATTTGAGACACTCCTAGTCCTTTATCATTAAGAAGACTTGGAAAGTATCAGTCCTGTCTTTGAAAAAGTGACCTGCATTGCAAGTGCTCACAAGGCAAGAAAACAAAACAAAACAAAAACAAAATAACAAACAAACAAATCTCTCATGAGGAAAGTAAAAAAAAAAAAAAAAAGACTGAAAACACAGGGCAGGGATGTGATGGAATAAGATAAACTAAACACTGGGGAACCACCTGAAAAATGTCAGCCGTATCTAAGGTTTGAAAGAGAGTGTAAAATGTAAAGCAAGAAAGGGATAAATAGAGACAGGACATAAAACATACACAAGTTCTTAATGATCCATATTAGCTCTGGGCATTTCCCTTAGAAATACATATATATATATATATATATATATATATATGCCATCACGTGCTTGGAGTGTTGAGTGTTGGGTTGCTCTTTTAAAACATAAAATGTAATTATTGAGTACCTAACAAAATGTCCTGTGCTATGGTTTACCCAAAACAACACATCAACAGCCTTTTTTAAAAAAGACTTAATTCAACATTTTACAGACCGTCTAGTGCTTCCCCAAACTTTTGTCCAGCATATCAAAACAGTTTGAACATACTTACCCATCATCAATGACGGTGATGTAAAATAAACCAGTTTTGAGTGTGAAAGCACCTTGTACATCTTTCCATTTTTAAGCACATTTGCAACTTTTGGGTACTTCCTTCAATAAGCTTCTTGTGAATCTATCCATAAAGATCTGTCAAGCTTATCTAATTTAATTCTCCAAAGTTAGCACTATGCTATTATGAATGTATATGTTTCTAACTAATGTTGATGATATAAACAATTTTTGTAAGCCATTCACTCACATAAATTAAATATAAATTAAAAGTAAAAAGGTACCTTCGACTTGACAACTGCACTGTCTTTCACAAGTCAGACTAGTGGACCATCCAAAAGAAATGCACAATAAACTTTTTAGGCAGAAAACAAGTTTCAATACACAGAAATCCATTCCACCAGAGAAGTACTCAAGTAACTCTGGTTATATAGACATATACCTCCAGAATGCCATGAGGTAAAGAATGGGAGAAGGTGGTATATTATAGTCTAATGAACTGCAGGAATTTTTCTTTTTCTTTTTAAATGATGTTATCTAGGCTGGAGAATTGCTCAGTCGTTAAGAGAGCTCACTTGCAGAGGACCCAGGTTTGTTTCCCTAAATTCATTTTGGGAGCTCACTAACATTACTAACTCCTTTTCTCTAGATCTAGTGCATCTGAGCTCATCTCCACTCTCAGCAGCCATTTGTACTCATGTGCACTTTCCCACTACAGGCACACACACAGGTACTCAATATAAAAATAAAAATTGATGATATCATCAAGGTAGGGTAGGTACTATTAATCCTTTTACAGGGATATTGCTAGTAATTCTTCTATCCTTGTTCTCAATATACCATGATAATTCATCAAAATATCCACATATTTATAAATTTGAAATGTAGAATTACTGTGCTTTAAGCAGATCCACTCATATACTCATGTGCTACATATGTGGCACATTTATAGATAGAAATTATACAAATTTATGTAAAAGTTTAGGGAGCTATTATGTTAGACTAACTTTAGAGTGCATGTTAATAGGATCAGGTTCAAATGGCCAGCTTTGTAAAAAAAAAAATTAAAGTGGAAAGAATTTTTCTGTAAGTCAAACAATAAGTGGACAATTTTTAAAAATCAAAACATAAAAATTTTAAATCAAGTTATTTCCTGCTTTTTAATGTGGGTACCATAGCAGGTACGATGACAGCACAGTAGGATGGTTGACGACCACAGTGCAAGGGATTAGACCAGAGCTTATTACAAAACAAGTTATTTAATCAGTAGCCACATTTCTAAGTATACCCAGAGCACTTAATGACTTTGGGTGTGGAATATTAGTATTACTAATCATCTTAATTTAAATTCAAAAAGACATTCTGACTTGATTCTGTTCAAATCTAGCTGACAAACTTAGCAGAGATGTCCCCCTTCACTAGAAACACCTGGATTTATTTGGGGATAATATACACTTTTTGGTTTCTCATTATTAGATTGATATATTATTAAGTAAAAACCAAAAAAAGGTCGTGGCTTTTTATAAGAACATATTTTATGTATGACTGAAGTATTCACAACACTCTGAAAAAGCCATCAGATGTTAGATTTAAAAATAAAATTAAAAGCATTTTCTGACATAATACACATGAAAAATTGGAAATCCCAGTATCTTCAATAGAAGTTGTAGAAAGTGTATGTCTCCTTGGAGTATTACACCCACTTAACACAGCAGAGAATAAGGTACTATACTGTAAACAAAAAGTACAGTAAAGGACAGTTGTAAATTTACATAAGAATAGATCATAAACATTTTGGTCTTTCCATAACAGTTTATATAAAATGAATAAAAAAACCTTTAGACAGCTGTCATCATTCTTATTTGAGCACTTATCACTTATATGCACACAGACACATCTATACAGCAATATACTGATGCACTGTTACATGGATATTGAACTAGGTTTTACTGCCTATAACTGAGCTTTGTGTTAGCCAATCAACATTATCCATACTTGAGATACTCATACATTATGTATACTTGTCTTGTCATATCTATAAAAACATGAAAATATAACTTTACATTATTTCAATTATTTACATTAATTCAAGCTTGACAGAGAAAATTGGTAAGCTCAATTTTGGAAGAGTAGGTCCAGAGGTACAATAAATAGCATTGATTGTATATAGTCATCTCTTTTATAATTTTTAAAAACTCATTTTAAGTACAATATGGAAATAATTAGTCTGCAATTTGGTCATTCTAGCATTTATTATTAAAACTTAAAATGTACCTCCAATATCCCTGATGAGTAATGCACTAAAATTATACTGTATGGTTTTAGAATTTGTAGAAGGAATAGCAACATTTAGGGAAGGTTATCATGAAACTGCATGCTACCATGTAGAATGCAAGTGGCTACTGTTAAATCTTACAATTTCCATTCACATCTTTGAAAATAACCAATAAGGGTGCCCTACAAAGCACTTGGTCAGACACTAATTTTACAGAGAAATTAAGGGGAAAAATAACAATTACAAATCTTAAAGGTAACTACTGGGTGTCAGTTACTTTTGACCTTGAAATCATTTTATTTGGAGGACATTAGTGGAAACAAAAGGCATTTTAATGGGGGGGGAAGGTGGATGACTTAAATTTATCAACCAGAGTAAATATAATCTCTTTACTGAGAAGTTACAGAGATGGGACAGTATCCACATTAGACATAGTTTAGTGCCCATTCTACCTGAGGCATAAATAAAAAATAATATATTATGGTTAATTTTATAGATAGAAAAGGAAAGAAAATATATTGTAGATGACTAAAGTATTCAAATGTTGATCTTATTTCTTATAATTTTAAAACTGTATACTTAGATTATAGAATTTGGTCAGTGTGCAAGTATCTGAACAGCTACTCTCAAGGCATCTCTGACTTCATTTACAATGACTACTCCTCTGTAAGTTTAAACACTTCAGGAGTGAAAATTCACAGATTCTGTTATTTTTTTTTTATAAATTTGGTTTTTAAGTCTATAAGCATTAATCTATACAGACTAAATGCTTTTTAATTAACAGATATTTTGTTATATATATATATAGTATGATGTACAGAAAAATAGTTTTAGATATGCTATTTGGGAGAAATTCCTACTTCAAAAAAGAAAGAAATCTTCCTGCTTTTTAAATGGGGACCTTTTCTTTGGGATGCTAAAGACTACATATTAGTGTCTTTAAACTTATTGGATTTATGACCAAACTGTAGCTAAGCAAAATTAATTCACCCAC